GCTCAGGCTGAAATTCTTTTCCTTCCTCTATGTCTATGATGCACAGATTTGGTCTTTTCATGGTGTCCCACATTTGATGCATATTCCATTCTTGTGTTTTTTTAAATTGTTCATAATCTTTGCTTGAGTGGTGCAGTTCTTTGACTTTATCCTCCAGTGTTGTTATTCTATTTTTACATTTCATTCATTCTATCTGTGTGGTTTCCTCTGTTGTTTCAAATTGGCTTATTGTTTCACTTCCTTCTTCATTTCAGCCTGAGCTTTCTTCAGTGTTTCTATCTCTTGTGAATTTACTCAGAAGTTTACTCTTATCTTCTTTTAGTTCTTTGATTTGTTTGTGTGTTGGGCTTTAAATTTATTGAATTTCTTGATCATGTTTATGATTGTCCTTTTAAATTCTGTGTCCTGGGTTATCTCCAGGGGACTCTTCTTGTAGAACTCTTTCACAGGGCTGGTGGAGTTTGGTGGGAACATGCTGTTTTGGTTTTGCATATTATTAAATTTTTTTGTTGTGGTTTTGGCATTGGATTTCTTTTGTTGTTTGTGATTCTGGTATGAAACTCATTCCTTCTTTTGTTGAGTTGAAATTTACTCTTTGTATTATTGGTGCACCTTGGTTGTTTTCTTATTGGGTTTGTAAAGCTGGTTAGTCTATGTTTCAGGTTCTCTCAGATTTTATTTCGGAGAGAACTGATGGCTTCAGATCAGCGATCAGGATCTCCCACAGAGGCCCGAGACATGCTCCAATCGGTCCACTCAGGCTTCCTTCTAATGTTTGGACCTGTGCTAGTGGGTACTCACAGCACAATTTGGGAAGTTTGCTAAGGGGAGGCCCAATTTTGGCACTCTCAGGCAGTCTTTTATAGTCGAAGCCCCTACTGTAGGGCAGAGAGGCCTAGCCTGGCAAAGTGGGCCTCACATGGCTACTATCAGGGGTTTGGGCACGGTGCGATTTGAGGATGCTCCCCACCATGGCAGAGGCTGAATCCAGGAGCTTTCAGGTAATCTGGTGAGATTATAGGCCCTACCCTACTGTAGGGCAGAGAGGTCTACCCCTAGGGACAAGGTGGGGCCTGACATAATCCCAGTTAGGGTATTGGGTATGGTACAATTTGGAAAAATTCACCACTATATGGAGTCTAGATCCAGGTGCTCTCAGGCAGTCTGCTGAGGTCTCAACCCCTCCCCCCAGTTCTTTTCTTAATTTTAAGTCAATCTAAATATTTTCAACTTGTTTTCTTTTTATCTCTCTCTCCCCCCCACCATGGGTGTGTGCATGTGTATTGTGTGTGTGTGTGTGTGTGTGTGTGTGTGTGTACATGAGTGGGATGCCCACAGAGGCCAGAAGAGGTCATCAGATCACCTGGAGCTGGAGTTACAGGTGGTTGTGAGCCTCCCAAATTAGGTGCTAGGCCCTGAGGTGTGGTTCTCTGCAAAAGCAGCAAGTGCTGTTAGTCACCAAGCCATCTTTCTAGCCCTTAAATCAACTTTAAAACATTTGTACTTTCTTTAGATATAGAGGTAGAAAAAGAAACCTTGGCATCTTGCCTCTTACTCGAATTCTGATATTATTTACAAAGATTTGGAACCAGAAATAAGCTTTTTTGTTCTTCTTTTAAATTCTATAAATGGTCATGATGTCATTAGAAAATTAAATGAGGTTTTAGTTATGAAAAGAAATTGAGATGGTTTCCCGCTTGTGACCCAACAAGTATTTGCTGGGACTGAGGTTCCTACTGGTGGTTCTAGGAGCTGTGGGTAGGATGTTAAAAAGACTACATGGGGCATCCAGGTATTTTCAGAGCAAGCTAGCTAGTCTAGTATCCAGGTGTTTTCAGAGCAAGCTAGCTAGTCTCATGTATGACTGAGACTGCCATGTGTCTGGGATTAGGTGCTCTAGAGACTGATATGGCAGCTCAGCTGTGGAAAGGGGACAAGGGAGGCTGACTCAGGGAGGATTGATGGAGAGGTGCTAAGAAAGGCCTTCAGGGGAGATGGGATGCAGTTCTTAGCAAGATCTGGAAAACACAAACCAGAAACAGGCTGAATCCTTTCCTTTCAGTCATCCTCCTGCTCCACCTCTGCCCTTTGGGGCTTTATCCCTCCTCAATGGCCTGTTTACACATCACACCTGGTCCCACATCACCGGACAGTGAACTGGCTCTGGCCCACATATTTCTTGACCGTGGGCATCAAGGAAAACATCCCTTGAGGGGATGGTTTACTGTGGAGTCAAGTCCATGGTTGTTCACACAGCTTCTGCTGACGCACCACCAGGCAGCTTCCAGGATGTTCCTTTGTCCTGGAACACAACCCAGACACACATGGTTCTTTCTGTGTCAGGTTAGTTGGACCTCCAGCCCAGGCCCTCCTGTGTGTTGCCTTGTGATAGGCTAGCTTTTCTTTCCAGTGCCTTCTGCAGTAATACTTCCTGGTTCCTCAGCTGAGCTGATAAATCCACATATGGGCTGCAGAGACAGCAAGATCTTCTCCCAGGGCTCTGCAGGGGTCTCTGACCAGTAGCTGAGATGCCTTCAGGTTCTTTGACACCAGCAACTATCTTTGAAGGTGATGATTATCATTCCAGAGCTGACCCAGGCTGTGGTCTACACTCTATGTCCCTTTTTCCCATTCCTTCTTTGGATCTTAATTTGTGAGAATTCTTTGAGATGCATATTAAAACTCTGCTCTTCCAGATTAAATTTTATTGTTATTTCTGTTAGGTGCTTGGAAACACTTTGAAATAAGTGTTCTGAGGTATTCGGAGCCTGGCATAATGTGGGTGTGTTGCAAACTGTGGGGAGGGAACTTGTGATCCTGAAACCTCAGGACAGCCATCAGTCCCTATCACCAGACACCAAGTCCAAGGCACACATGCTTCCCTTCAGTCCCCTGGATGAGGTGCTGATGACACAGTGGACTTAGCTCATCTAAACTCTGGGGTTCCTGACTGCAGGGATGGCTGATGGTGGACACCCCTCTTCTATTGCTCTCCTGTTCTCTTGAGCGTGGAACCTGGTGAAACCAAACTTCTATTCCTCACCCAGTCATCTCCTTCACTTTCTGCTACATCTTTTCTAGATGTGTCAGACTGCAGATCTACTGCATACATACACACACGCACACACATACACACACGTACAAGTGTGTGTGCACGTTCATGCTCATGTGGGCAGAGGCCAGAGGTCAACCTCAGCTGTCATTCCTTAGTCACACTCCACTTTGTTCTTATTTTAAAATTTATTTTATGTGTATGAGTGTTTTGCCAAATATATGTAGGTGCACTTGTATCATGCAATTCCTGCAGAGGCCAGAAGAAGGTGTCGAATTCCATTGAACTACAGTTATAGATGGTTGTTAGCCACCATGTAGGTGCAGGGAGCCAAACCCAGCTCCTCTGCAAGAACAGTCAGTGCTCTTAAACACTAAGCCATCTCTCCAGCCCATCAATATTATACTTAATGACACACTTAAAATTCAATCACTTAAGATCTTTTCCTTGGATTCTTATCTTTCATCATGTCCATTGCAGTTACTTCATCTTAAAGAGCAGAAGTATTTTCAATGGCACATACCCAAATTTAAATGATACATCTTAGCAGAATTGATGTGAATTGGTCTGAAAAATGCTAGTTTTTTGTCATTATCTTTTTCTCAGACTAGCACTTTTATTTTTTAATTAACTTATTTATTTTATGTTTGAGCATTTTATCTGCATGTATGTAAGTGCACCATGTGCATGCAATGCCATTGGAGTCCAGAAGAGGGCATCAAATCCCCTGGAACTAAAGTTACAGATGGTTGTTAGCCACTGGGAACCGAACCCCTGTGCAGGAACAGCCAGTGTTCTTAACCACTGAGCCCTTTCTCCAGCTCCAGACTAATCCTTTTAAATGAAAACTGTTAATTTCAGAATTTGAACATCCATCTGTTTTGGTAATTCTTTTTTCAATGCTCGGAACTGAGCCCAGGACTTCAAGCATGCTAAGCAATTTCTCCACCAACAAATTCTATTCCAAGCCTTTATGTCTTTAAGGAAGAGTTTATTTCTGTGACAATATCGTGCCACAGTGACGCCTTTCCTCTGCTTTGTTTGTGTTTTGTTTTCTATAAAAGCACTTGAGCCAGGATCTTGAAGATTCATCACATTCTTCAGCACAAGGAAAGTTTAACCAAGAGCAGTTTTACAAATTCATCATTTTCCCAGGAAAGTGGATCAAAGTCTGGTATGACCGACTCACCTTATTGGCACTATTGGATCGGTAAGCCTTGGAGAACCCATGGATGAGATTGAGAGGAGGGGCACCAGTGTGAATACTCCATGGTTCAAAAATGAAAATTTCTACTTGCTTAGGTCCCCTGGGACATTTCTAATCCACACCCCTCTTTGCTGTGAACTCAAAGTCAAAGCAGATAAACCTGAATGACTTTGACACTGAATTTCACAGCTGAGATGGGAGATGATGATTGGGTAGCCTGGGTGGATTGCAGGTTAGCTTAGGGGACAGTCTACACTTTGGTCTGCTCCTGACCTGCACTGTTTATGTAGGAGTGCTTGCAGCATCATCTGCAACAGAAAGCATTGCCTGACCAATTGAGTCATGGGAAGGAGGGGGAGGGAGATGAGGTGGAGTGATGCCTATCTCTTCCCTGCACAATGTGGATTCCATTTTCTCTCTTCCATCTGATGTGCACTGAGTTGAATGCTAGTCTTTCTTTTCAGCACTTCCCTGTCTCACCTCCTCTCACCATTGTCCCTCAAAATGAAGGACAGGGACTGAAGATGTGGCACCTGGGCGGTCAGGGCAGGGAGGTTTGGGTCACTATGGTGTGATGGAGATGGGGTTAGGTTGGGGACCCCTTGTGTCTTTCTTCCCCCATCCTCAGGATGTCAGAGGACAATGTTATGCTCTAAAGCTCTGGTGAAGATTGGTTTGAAATTTATCAGTAATGCTTGCACAGCAAAGTCTGTTCAGAGCTTGGTGCCAGCCCGTGTGTCCCCTGGTGACTACTTGTTAAAGTAATGTTACAGTAATGTCTTAAGTGGTGTGATCACACACACACAAAAAAACGATAGTCGTGCAAAATTATAGCAGTAAATTTCAGAGCTCACAAGTCAGGGAATGGCATTACAGTCGCTTTACTAAGAATACTATGTTACTCTTGGGCACACACATGAGGGGAACATTGAATACTCAACTAATAATCTAAGATAATACATTCCATTAGATGAGGCTTTAAAAAAATACCACCTTTCTCTATAAAAAAGAAACTATTGAAAGTGGGAATAGCTTATGTGAAAAGGAAATCTTTCTGTAGGTTTCAGATTTCTGTGTTTGTATTTCTGTGAGTTTGTGTAGGTGAATGTGGGTGTGTGTATGTGTGTGTGTGTACTGTGTCGGTTAAGATTGATATTTGGTGTCTTCTTCAATTACCATCTATCTTATTATTTAA